TATTCCAGGGTTTCAAGGGTTTTTCTCGTGTTATATGTAACAATCTGAAGTGTCTTGCTTATGAACACAACAACAGTTTCCATAAGAGTCACTGTTACCTGCTGTGGCAACTATTATTCCCCACAGTCTCCCATCCAAGTACTAAGCAGACATCACCGTGTTTGCTTCATTTGAGGTCGTAACCTATAGCTCTTCCAAATTGCTCGCCTAGGGATTTCTGAATTATACCTATTGAACTGAACTTTTACCATTGCTTGTTCGCTAATAGCTGGATAATGGTTTTCTTTTATATGCATCTGACTGGACCCCATCTGAGGCCTGCCATGGCTACATACAATATTTCTTGCAAGCCCTAAAGTAGTGAGTAGTGAGTAGCTTTCTTTTCTTCTTTTTTGTTTGGAAAGGTAGTCCGTCGGAAGAAAAAGGATGGGGACCCCTTGTATATGGCATTGTAAAGTGCTTTGAGAGTTAGAATATACAAAGGCGATACAGAGGCTATAAATTGCCACCTAGTGACTCCGCTCAATATAATTTCTCTCAAGCGACTAGGTCAGGAATCGGAATACACTAGACGGTTTTTACAAGAACCCCGGAAGTGGAAGTTCGGGCACAAGCCAATCAGCGAAGAACCATACATTCTGTGTTGACAACGATTCCCGAGATCAAGGATTTAAAGTCGGAACAAAGACAATGAATGAATTTTATCAAGGGGAAAGACGTTATTGCCCTTTTCCCTACGGGATTTGGGAAAAGCTTAATATACCAGTTAGCTATTAGCGGCGCATTACATACGTCACGACCAAACAGCAGCAATTGGTTAAATTAAAAAAGTACCCGCCTACCATCGAGCGAACGAATCCTAATGCTGCGAGGTCAGACAGTTTCCACAAAGTGAAACCGGCTGATGAATCAGGCTAGTAAATTATGGAGCCAGTTTTCACATCTGGTTAGTGACGGCAGATCAGAGGCATTGTTTAAAAAGAGTGTGAGGAAATGTTTGATATTTCATGATCATGTTTGATCATCATTCAATTGTGGATGTTGCATTGTATTTTAATCCATGTTTGAATCAAATGAATTTCATCCAAGGTGTGTAATGTAAGTTTTTATTTTTTTATTTATTTTTTTATGCACAGCGATAATGTTCAATTTTCAATGTATTCATAAGGTGGAGGCTTTAGTATAGGCTCTTTTGGGGTTTTTTGCCTCTTCCTTCACCTACTTTTTAAAAATCTAGTATGTTTTTTGTATTGTTATGTTATACGTGCAAAATAAATAAATAAATAAATAAATAGGGATTTTTCCATAGGGGCAACAAAAAATGTTCCCTCAATCTAGTTATTTAATCAAAAATCACTGTTATTTATTTCTATATACATGTTAAAGCAATGCTGTCCTTGTACATGCATTTCAAGTATCATGACATACGGACCTACGTATATTGTTTTGAAACAGGCTTTAACCTGGATGCCCTTCCAGGTCTAACATCTCTTCTCTGGCTTAAAAGTTGAAACTCATTACAACCAAAACATTAAACAAAGCAACGCTGATTACTACAACACTCTGATTGAAATTCTTATTAAGGCATATAAACCAGAACTTTCAAGGGAAATAATAACCAAACTATATAAATGCATTCATAATTTGGTCAGCCACTCTATCAAATATATCAAAAATAAATGGAAAACGGAAGGTAATTTTGCTCTGACAAATGAAGAATGGGAATAATATATATATACATATATATATATATATATATATATACATATATATATATATATATATATATATATATATATATATATATATATATATATATATATATATATATATATATATATATATATATATACATCTCAATGGAGGGCCACAAAATCATATATCTGGAAAGAATTTGGGTGGAAAAATATATCATGTTTCTTTTTTTTAATAACACCATACGAAAGTGCCCATTATTCACAGGGAAATACGGGCCAACCATTACCATATGTTTTGAGATTGTCATGATCTATAAATATTGGACAGAAATGAACAAAACACTGCAAACAATTTTTTATGTGACTATACCACTCGACTTGAAAATTATGTGCCTGGACCTCAAAATCCCGGCCGTGGACACAATGAAATGGATATCTCTGGAGCTTACTTCTGGCGGCAGGGAAAAAGGCCATTACAAAAATTGGATGACACAAACAGCGCCATAAATCAAAGACTGGTCAGAAATTATAAATGAAATTCAAAAAAAATGGAATAACATTTGGATTTAATTTGAAAATGGACCTCTTTGACAAACTTTGGACTAAATGAGGATGCAATTTGTCTAATTTGTTCTCTCTCTACGTCGTGTTCAGTGTTCAGTTCAGTTTGTTATGTGCTGTTTATCTTTTTAGAAATGCTGAAAAAAAATACATATAGATATAAAAAGAGCTGAGACTGGCATGGATAATAGATAGAACAATTATAAGGCAATTATAAATACTCCAAAAAAATTACTGAAGTAGAGGCAGAGCTTTTTATCATGTGACCTACCCAAGCTACTCACCCAGTTTGTGTCTAAAGCCGGACAAACAACTAGGCCATATTTGAGCCCAATACTGTACTCCAACACTGAAAATGTGAAAGGAGATGAAATGATTGACAGTGTTGCTCGCTGGAAGAGAAGATGTCGGTGAGAGTAAATGAAAAGGGCAGGCGAGTTTGTTGTTTTGTTTTGTCTGCAACTGCCTAAATGTCTTATATTTCTAAATGTTACCACTCACTGTTTTTGTTATTTTACTTTTGTTCTGTTCTGCTGTTGTATTAAAATTTTGAAAAATTTAATAAATATTTCAGGGGACGACATTTTCGATTTGTTCAGGCTTAGTGCTTGTTACAATCAAATAGGCAATCTATATTATTTTCAGTATATGGATGAAACTGAATATATGTACCAAGCAAACCTATTCTGAATACTAATTTTGAGTACCTACCTAGTATTCAGAATGCAGTTACTTTTCTAAATTACAAGGAATACCTGATGATATTTGTAATTCATGTCGTTTTGGTTTTGAATAATTAGATGAGATGAGATGTGTGCGTGTGTGATTTTCAACTTTAAGTAATGCATAAGAAATTGCTGTTTGTAATAATATTATATTTTAATTCTCTAAATCAACTGTCTCCAACCTGTAGCTCTCCCACTCGTGAAGGGATTTCTGAATTATACATATTGCATTGAAAAACTCAAATTTGATTGATTAAATACCTATTTCCTTTGTAAATCTATAATTTTGATACCTAATTTTGTGCACTGATAACTGGATAATGAGTTATGTTTTATAAACATCTAACTGTACCTGATCTTTGGCTTACCATGGCTCTTATATTTACAACATTTCTGATGACCGCTAAAATTAGTAGCTCTCTGGCATTTTGGTTTTACATAAAGTAGTTCACAAGAGGAAAAAGGTTGGAGATCCCTGCTCTAAATAATGCTCAATATATGTTTCAATATAATGCTACTTGGTGTAAAAATATTCAGAATACAGTACTCTGATTGGCACAACTATCAGAATATGTTACAAAATACATTTTAAATTGGGTATTCAGTGTTCTGTAATTACATTTTGAGTATTCTTCCCATCACTAATTACATTATTAGACTTGCACACACACAAGCTTTAGCAATATACTGCAAATAAAAGCTATTATTCATGTTTATAAGTACTATTTTGAGCACTTCTCATCATTCAAAATATGGACTATATTGTTTTGAAGTGTGAAATGCTATTAGGGGCTGATTGAGTTAGGAAAAATATCTAATTGCAATTTTCTGATGAGCATCGGGATTAGATTTTCAGTTTCTGTTTTAATAATTCAGTTAAAAGTTCAGATTTTAAACACATCCAGAGGAATAGACAAAAGCACTGAAATATGAACTGACAAACAAATATAAAAATCACATTTCAGAACATGTTCGTGCTGACCTAAACTACAGGGGCAGTGTTTTCTATGCAGAATGAGAGAGGACATTTTGTTGTTTGTGGAGGTAATTATGGTACTTCAAAAACTGCAGCTTTTGCGTTTCACTAATTGCGTCCAACTCTTGTTCACAAATGAGGAGCGTGAGATTGACAGTCGGCTTGGTGCAGTGTCAGCAGTGATGGGGTCGCTGTATTGAACCGTTGTGGTGAAGACAGAGCTGAGCCGAAAGGCAAGGCTCTTGATTTACCGTCAATCTACTGTGCGTTCCTACCCTCACCTATGGTCATGAGCTCTGGCTAATGACCAAAAGGATGGGATCATGGAGACAAGCGGCTGAAAAGACTTTCCTCCGCGGGGTGGCTGGGCGCTCCCTTAGAGATAAGGTAAGGAACTTAAAGTCACACGGGAGGAGCTCGGAGTAGAGCCGCTGTTCCTCCATGTCCAGAGGAGCAGCTGAGGTGGCTCAGGCATATTTACCGGATGCCTCCTGAGTGCCTTGCTCTGGAGGTGTTCCGGGCATGTCCCACTGGAAGGAGACCCTGGGGAAGAATCAGAACACACTGGAGGGACTATGTCTCTCAGCTGGCCTGGGAACGCCTTAGGGTCCCCCCAGAGGAACTGGAGGGAGTGTTCGGGGTAAAGGAAGTCTGGGAGTCCCTGCTTAGACTGCTATCCCCGTGACCCGGCCCCGGATAAGTGAAAGAAAATAGATGGAATTGCGTTTATTCATATTGTTTAGATTTCATTTAGATTAATCTTGCAGCCCTAATTGCCATAGCAACTGTGCCCACTTTTCACTCTAACACCCATGTATAGGCAATCTATTCCATGACACATAATCAAAAATGTAATTCATTCTCTGTTCCTTCTGTCGTATTTGGCATACCACTGCTTGCATCGCTTTCACCCCCCTCCCTGTCGATCTACATGTGCGAATGTTTCTCTCACCTCATTGACCGGCTGCACACGTGGGCGGGACTAGCGGGAGCGCATAAATACCCCGCAAGACGCACAAGCAGCCCAGAGAGATCCACATTGTTGCGCTCTCTATCTCTCCCTTTATCATTCCCATTTACTCACCTAGAATCATGTCTTTAGAAGTGAAGGAGAAGACGGAGGTGCGCTTGGTTTTCCTTGGCGCAGCCGGTGTGGGCAAGACCGCTCTCATCCAGCGGTTTCTGAAGGACACGTTCGAGCCCAAGCATCGCCGCACCGTGGAAGAACTTCACCGGAAAGTCTACGAAGTGGGCGGAATCAAAGTCACCATAAACATCATGGACACGAGTGGCAGCTACTCCTTCCCGGCCATGCGTAAACTCTCCATCCAAAACAGCGACGCGTTCGCTCTGGTCTACGCCGTGGATGACCCGTCCTCCCTGGAAGCGGTGAAACAGCTGCGAGAAGAGATTTTAGAAGTCAAAGAAGATAAATTCACGCCTATTGTGGTGATAGGGAACAAAATAGACAGGCAGAACGAGAGGCAGGTGTCCAGCGAAGATGTCCTGTCCACGGTGGAGTTGGACTGGAACCACAGCTTTTTGGAGTCGTCCGCCAAAGACAACGTCAATGTTTTGGAGGCGTTCAGGGAGCTGCTCCAACAAGCCAACTTGCCCAGTAGACTGAGCCCCGCGCTGGCCAGGAGACGAGAAACTTTCCCCAAAGACAGCAGCAAGCATCCGCCTATGAACAAGACCAACAGTTGTCAAATATCATGAACGACCAGCAAAAGACTGACACATGTTTTTTTTTTTTTTTTGTACAGCATTGGTTTGCATAGACAATTTAGATGCAAAACCCTCTGAAACGTTGTTATAAAATGTGTTACAGCTGCAGCAGTATACTAGACCGGCTTTTAATATGCTATTTATGTCATATTTCAAGCTTGTATTATTACAGTGTTGATAAAAGTGCAATATCTGTGTTTTTTTATGCAAAGTGAAAGCAAGTTATAAGTGGCTTTTGTCCATAATCTAATAAAATATAGGTCATTATAACTGTATTACACAAAAGGACACTCTATAAATGATGACTGCATATTAAAAAAGTGTAAAGGCCATTTACTGTTACTCTGTATTTCAACTACGTCAAAGAATAAATTATTTTTTTAGTAACCGTGTTTGTTTTTCTTGTGTACTTACACTTAATATTTAACTTAAATGACACTGTGCTACTTTACTTCCACATATTTCTCAGTAAGGTGTCACGTAACTGCATTGTTCGTTGACAAGTTGACATTTAATTGAAAAAAAAATTAAATAATTACCAAACATGGGACATTTTTGCTGTAAATATGAATAAATAAATAAATAAATAAGTTAAAAAAAAATAATAACAACTCGAAATAAATATTACGTTATGAATTATGGGTAAGGCTGTCTGAGGTGATACTGCCCTCTGGTGGACATTATAATTAGGAACTTGAATTAAATTGGTTTAAAGTTATGAAAACGTAATTATTAGGCAGCACAACTTTACGGCACATCTCAAAATATAAGTGCAAAATATAATATAATGAAGAAATAGCATAGCAAAACAAAAAACAAAAAATATTTGACGCACACGTCTCCAAAAACGTGTAGAAAATTCAAATTCTAGCTAAATGTGCCGCGCGTACGCAAACTTTACGCACAAATTAAATTCAGGTAGCGTTTTGTAACTTTTTTTTTTTTTTTTTTTTTTTTTTTTTTTTGCACCTGTACCTGCGCAAATTCCCCAACATGGCCACACACATCTAGAAATTAAAAAAGATCCGCTTCCTCTTTCCATAAACGTTCACAGACTCGGTGCATTGTTCCCCAGAGTGTTACGAGGAAGTACCTTTGATTATCGGGTTTTAAGTTCCTCTTTACGCACGGTTTTAATACGCGGCTGCAAGTGCACAAAGACCGGTCCGGCACAGCACGCATGGTCACGGTTCGAGGTCGAGGTACCAGGCAGCTTTACCAGGTAGACATCACATTACTTTTGGTTAGTTTTGCGTCAAATTGATTAAAAATTATTGTCATGTTATGTTTGTTTTTTCAGTGATGGTGTTGTTTCGTATCAGATGTGTTCGTGGCTGTGCTCCTAGACTTGGTCAAAGCTCCTCAGTGTGGCATTAGTGGACTGAGAAGTTGTGAACAAGTGTAAGATCATTTAAAGGCCTATTACAACTACGCCTGGACTAGTTTCTCTCAGAAGATGTGGATAACTAGGCCTAGAATATCATGTTCTTCTAACTACTCTTTGTAGAAACTATAATTCAGCTGTAATTCATATTTTTAATAAGTTTACGTCTTAATTTTTGTAAAGGTCATTGGTGGTTTTCAGATTCTACAAAGCGATGATGCCATACTCCCAGATGCAGGGTAAAGGGTAAGAGCCAGATTTGCCTATCCATGAGTCCATGAGTTTCAGAGCTATAAATAGCTAGCACCGTTATCATAGCAATTATTAACTCAAAAGAAAATGTCAAAAGTCCTCAGATCTCGTCTATAACAAGGAAGCTGAACCTCATGATTCATAAAACTGTATTTTCATTAGAAATATTCCAAAAGTAAACTAACAAATGTTGAACCTGATCGTTTCTGCCCTCAACTGGCCCAAGAACCTGCCATATCACAACGGAAATTTGCATATACAGTAGCAACAATATTCATTTTAACGACCTGTATTAAACACTGTTGACCTATTGAATGTTGTGATATCACCTGAAATCCAGGACTATACATCATTATTGTTCCTGAAGTATATAAAAGAATGAATGAAAGTAGAGAAAGGAGACTGTATTCTCAAGTAATTGTAGTATTTTTATAAAAAAATAAATAAACAGAGCTCAAAGAATGTACTATTTTGGAATCTAATTTTAGTAAGTGACATTGGTGCTATTTTTGTAACCATGACATCAGATATCCTGGTAACAAAAGCTTTATTTTATTATTAAACTATGCTTATTTTTGATTATTAAACCCTGCTTTTAATACATTAAAAACTCCATTGTTTCTTTATTATCTTTTGGCATTTGATTCACTTTTGACCCATGGAGAATAACCCAGATGTGTGTAAAATCAATATTGCAAGTACCTGACAGACCAGAGCAAGCTTGTAAATAAAAAAAAAAAACTTGATACTTGAAATGTTCATTATTGTTAGAATATTTCATAAGTATTTATTTGAATACCCAGGAGACACACATGTAGCTTAAATGCTTTTATTTCATGTACAACAGCAGACCAAGGCCTGAAATGTAGGACTTGAAATATACAGAGCAGATGACAGTTGACAATGACCAGAATAGAACTAGCTGGTGGAAAAAAAACAACAACAATACAACCTTGTACCACCTGCGCCATCAGGCAGGAGGAATCTGACTCTGTTAATACAAGAAAATGAAGAAGTTTAGACAGAGGAAGGACAACCTGTAAATGTCAACAACAACAAAAAAAACAAAACAGCGACACAAAACACACAAATGGCTTAGAATATCCCTGAGCACAGAAATACTCATACAAAAAGTAGCAACCAGCACCAACCTAATTGAATTTTGTTAATTTAATTTAGTTTCTATAGGGTAACATACAGCTCAAGATATAAACAAATCGATAACTACACCTCGTAATAAAGCATGAACAAAGACATAATGGCCAAATGATTAAGAATGATTCAGGATTACTACTTATTACTTATATGAGGGTTAGGACTTATGGTTATGGTATTCATTAAAAATATTGTATTGTTGCTGGCCTTTAATCACACTTTGCTTTGGCATCTCATGTTTTAGAGCTTAAAATGATGGTTATCTACACCCAATATACACAGGTATGCTCAGTATACTGGGAACTGGGGTTAGGGCTCCATCTACTGGCAGCAGAAGGAGTTGCTATTGAATAAGTAAAGAAAAATGACTAGGTTTAGTAATATTTTCCAACATGAGAACAAGTATGCAGTTGGAATGAACAAAATTTGACAGCAGAATTGCTCCAATTTTGATTTATGGACTTAAAACATCCTGGACTTTTACATGTGATGTAAGAATACTGGTAATTTAAGAGAAACTTTACTGATCCACAAGGGAAATTACTTGGAGACAGTAGCTCATACATCACATCATAATAACAAAGAGAAAATATATATAATGGTCATAATAAATTCTGCATAAGTAGCAAAAAAAAAAAAAAAAAAAAAAAGAGACTAGACTCAAATAAGGCATATATATTAAAGTATATATACAACTAAAAATACAATAATAAATAAATAATAATATATATAAAATTGTGAGTTTTTTATTACTAAGTAGGAGCAGATGTGTTAAATTAGTGTGAAAATACAAATCCAGGCATGTTTTTTTGATGAGGGAACAATGTTAAAAGCTCTAAAAACAAAATTTCACTGAATCTGAAGTCTGAATCTTAATAAACTAGTCTTTGTTCATGCTTTATTAAGACTATTAAAATGTAGTTATTCAAAAAACGTGATCTTATTTTTTTGATTGCATGCTGCTGTTTAAAAATAGTCCACATACAGGCTCTTTATACGCAGTACGCTACATATGAAAAATAGACCCAATAAGATTTTTAAGACAAGACAGAGAAATTAATCACTGGAATTGGCTGAATTGTTTAAATATTAAGACTTTATTTTCATTACTATTTCATTTATGTTAAAAATATATCTCTTCTTTCTCGTTTACATTCAAAACACCATATAGATAAATGCGCACAGTGGGTTTCTTTATCCCATTAAACGCTAACACAGTGAGGTAAACAGTAAACAACAAACTGCTACTGCCCTGTTCTCCACCACCATCACGTCCTACAGTCTTTCGATGGTTTATTTCGTTTTTTTCACAGCAGAATTCATGTATATACTTCCATGTGGCAGAGTGTGCAAAAATCCAGCAAACGAAACAAGACACTTGAACGTCGTTTTAAAATACGCTTCTGTGAAAGTATTGCAATTAAAATCTAAAGTGAAAATATTGTCATTTATTTGTTTGCTTCAGTCAGTTGACGTGAGGTACCATAACTTGTGAGCTCAAGTTTTAGGCAGGTGTGAAAAAATGCTAAAACAAATCATGTATTTTTTTGTGTGTGTCATTTGTGGTTAACATCTGGACAAGAGAACTTTTACCATTTTGAGGAGGACAGCTGACTTTCACAATAACAAGGTTGATTATAAGGATTACACAAAGTTTATAGGCACTATATTTTCATTACCGGTCTGCTTTTGAGGAGGGCTGAGCGATGTGACGCACTGTGATTGGTTCAACCCACTCACGGCATCGCAACTTCCCATTCATATTTTGCATATAGACTCAAAAAAATGAAGTACGTCATCAGTGTATGCGGCTTTTGGCACCGGTGTACGACTTGAGGGGACTCTTTAGAGGTTAAATCATATCTTGAGCATATACACTGCTTGTCAAAAGTTTTACAACACCCTCATTTTTCCAGTTATTTATTGCAATTCAAGTCGTGCAAGTCCAATGAAAAGCTTGAAATGGTACAAAGGTAAGAACTGAACATCCAGAGGTTTAACAAAAAGATAAAAGATACAAAACACAAGTCCAAGCTCTGCCAAAACTACCTCAGGAAAAAGAACAAAATGGTAAACTTGAAAACATGGAGTGTCCAGCACAGTCTCCAGACTTAAACCCCATCGAGCTGGTTTTGGGATGAACTGAAGAGAAGAGTGAAAGCGAAGAAACCTACAAGTGCCACACATTTATGAGAACTTCTGCAACAGACTTGGGAAGAACTTTCTGAAGAATATTTCATTTCTATTGTAAAAAGAACGAGCCACGAGTGTGTTCAGATTTTCTATCTGCCAAAGGTGGACACTTTCATGAATCAAAAGTTTAGAATACGTTTTGGTAACAGTAGAGAGTAAAAAACTGGAAAAAAAAGTGTGGTGTTCTAAAACTTTTGACCAGTAGTGTGCTCCCTGTGCAATTTAATACTGTGGAGATTTAAGGTATAATGGTACGCGGTAGGTGTTGCTGAGGCAGTAAATGGAACAAAAATTCATAAAATATCTCAGCAATATACAATACACATTCTACTGTGTCATGCCATGTTGCAGGATTGCCCCTCAAGTCTGTAAAAGTTTATTTAAAACGACCCAGACGCACAGGGAGCCATGAACAAGCTTATCGCTTGTCATGCAGCGGGAAACTAGATTATGAACTGTATAAATCGCAAATTATCAACAAAATGACAGATAAACAGAATTTTAGGTTTTGAATTTTTTTTTTATGACTGAAAATCTATGTCTCATGAACAGTTACACTAGGGCTGTGCTAAAATATTGAAATATCAATATCGTATTGTATAATTTATTGTGATAATACAGTATTGATATCAGGGGCTGCTGTGTCGATGTATCGCCAAGAGTATTTTTTGGTATATTTCACTAAATTATTTTTTACAGAGCTAGAGTTTTATTTCTTGTTTAAAGAAAGGAAACTCATTTATGCGACACATTTGACATCTTCACAGTTTTGAGGATTAAAATGTTTGTGTTTCATATTCACTTTGCACAAGAAGTGGTTTAACAAAGACTTTTCGTATTACAGCAATGATTTAGCCATTATTTTTTACTGAAACGTATTGAATCGATTTGAAATGTATCATATCTAATCGAAAGGGCACTGTATCGAGATATGTATCGTATCGAAGCCTATGTATCGAGGTATGTATCGTATCGGCAACTTCTTAACGATACCCAACTCTAGTGACCACATATTATGGAAAATATGAATGGGAAATTTACACCCATAGAAGACATGATTGTAAATTTTCATTGCCATATCGCTCAGCCCTACTTTTACGTTTTTTTTTGCATTTTTTATTCACAAACTGCCTAAGACTTTTTTTCAGCACTATTTCCGCTTGAATTTTTTTTTTCAAATGAGCAGCATTACATTAAAATCCAAGCATATATTTACTCTTCTCGACTTATTTTCAGTACCGCGTTTTACAATTTACACCGTCTGAAAACTTCAATCTCTTTTCATGTTTGTTTCTTTGTTACTTTATGTAGTGTATTGTATGTGATCCTGGCAGGCATAGCATAACTTCATATTTGTACAGTTTATTTCTCACAGTTGGACCCACCTCCGCAGGTCTAGTCGTCAGTTGTGATGTTACGGAACAGGTAGGCCATGGACTCTCCGTTGTGGATTCGCCTGATCGCCTCGGCCAGGATCATGCTCACGTCCACCGTCTTGATTTTGGGACACTGCAGCTTCTGGACTTCGTGTGGGACGGTGTTTGTCACCACAACCTGATGAGAAAAAAAAGTACCGCACTGTGACTTTAAATAATACGTATGAAAGCACTGAAACTGGTTCTGGGCGGTTGACGTAGAAGTATTATATTTGGAAGGTACTATTGTGTGCTTGAAAAGGGAAGTGACACCTGAAACTACACAGTATAGTTTTAGTTCACCTCCGTTTATTAGTTTATTAAGCATGTGACAGTAACACAGTTGTACATAGATTACACTGTAAACCCGAATGTTCAATGTAATTAAATATACTCAAAGTTTTAGAAATAATCCTACAACTTAATTATGTCAAGTTGCTGTAACATGTTCTTCTTTTTGAGTAATTAACTTTTTTCTTTTTTTTTTCATTAAAAGGAACAAATGTGGGTATAAATGAGCATAATTCAAAAATATAGATGAGGTACAACTTAGTAAAATTAAATACTGTAATTAAATGCCGGGAATGATAAAGTCCTGTTATTTTTATTGTTTCAAATAGAGATGATTTAAAAATAAACTTAATTTATATAGTATGTGCTAAAATACAATACAATTTCAAAGCGCTTCACCAAACAAGTACTAAAATCTATCATAACAAATAAATTGCAACCACAAAAACATAATCATTTGATCAAGGCAAATGGTTTGAAATGTGACTAAATGTATTATTTTATTTTATTTGTATTGTTTTTAATTTGTATTTTATTTTGAAGTCATAATAAATTAAAATAACTGAGCTGCCTTAACAAAAAAAAATATGAGTCATATTAACTGCAAATATGTGACTTAAATTTATCAGCTTAAAATAATTGAGGTAATCGATTGGCTCAATTATTTTAAGTTCTGGTAACGTATTTGGGTTTATAGCGTACACTGTACTCGGTACCGTTATATCAAATTGTATTTTAATGCACAGTGTAGTAATAGCATTGGTAGTAGGATAGCACTAACATTATAAATGGAAAAATAAACATTTGCAGTCCTATTTCCATATCATTACAAGGAAAATATTGTCTAGGGTCGAGTAGAGTCTTCATTCTGAGTTAAAGATGAATTATATCACCACAAAACCAAGTAGATGTGTCCTGTTTTTATAAATAACTACAGTAAAATGACCATGATTAGGCTTCTTCTAATATTACACAAAATTGACTCTTATGAGCTTTTGGCAATATTATAATGCTGTTAACTCAAGTTGTATTTGGTTTCATTCACACACACCCTTTGTTATTTGTCTGGCTGCATCTCCAAAGCTCAAAATGCCATGTTCCACCTTGTGATGTCATGTAGTGGTAGTTTTCAAGTTAACAGCTCCTTTTACCTTTAGTTGAATAGAGATGGCCAATTCCAGAGCTGATATTATCCAAATTATTCTAGTGATGGAATAAATTTACAATGTAGCTTCCCTCACACCTTCATCCTCTGCACTAACAGATTTTCCCAGAAGCCCCAGCTGCCCTCTCACCTCGTCGATGGCAGACTCCTCGATGAGCCGGGGAGCGTCTGCGGACAGTAAACCGTGAGTGGCCATGATGTAGATCTTATAGGCTCCTCTCTCTTTGAGGAGCTCTGCGGCCGCAACAAAGTCTCCCACGTCGTCTATGATGTCATCCTGTCAAAACACAAAACTTTATTACTTTTGGAAGATATATAGATGAAACTGGGACTAAACACTGTAAAGGCCGCCACACACTAAAGGAGAATTTGCCAGATTATGGCTGTGATTTGCTTCTCCCCGAGTTCAGGAAGGGGTGATTGGACTTTGTGTCTGCGCTCCTCATGTGTGGTGCGATTCCAAGCTGCTCTTTCATATCATATACGGTAAAAGACAATAAAACAACAGAGTGTCAGGGACAAACGGAGTTACGGACACAGGGGTGCAAGATACAAACTCAGTATATTGAAAATAATTATTACTCACCTCTCGCAAAGGTGTAAAGTTAAACTGCAGTATTCATTCATATTAGAATTTGCCCTCTACAAATAATGACAGCCAGTCCACAAAACAGCGCTATTAATCCAGTTTGAGGCTTTCTTTAAAGTAAAACAGCGAGAATAGTTCCTCGTGTGTGTCCGTTTATATCCACACAGCGCACCGATCGAGGTGAAGCTGCAGATTAGTGATAGGGAGTCTACTTCCTGTGGACTTTATCGTTAGCCTTCTGTGCATTAAAAATCATGTATCTGAAGTTTTGCATCACATTTCACAAATAAACACTCAGATTTGACTTGTATTTTAACTAGAAGTGCAGAGCTTTGATCTTTAGAACACTCAAGAGTCTCAAAGTGAGTCATTTTAAGATTGCGCTCAAAAATGTATATCCTGTGGTCTGCAGACATTTAAGTCTCATAAGATTCTCCTCGTGTCTGTGGTGTGTGCTTTTTTTGTCACGCGTTTAAAAATCGTTTAAGACAGAAAACTCCTGTAGTGTGTGTGTCTTAACTCAACCCACAGCCACATTTCAATTGCTTTAAAAATTGCATTCATGTGAAGTCAGAAGATTGTGATATTATTTCAGATAGAGGGCAGAGGTCATTAGGACCTCTTAGGGTGATTCACAGTTTTTGTTTTACCTTATAATTTGTAAAAACTGGGAGAAACAAATTTTCTAGATTAATCTTGTCAATTTAAGTCTTCAACTATACGCCTGTGTCAGTGTTAGAATTATTCCACCATTTTAATACTAGTGGAAGGACTCATTCTACCTCATTTGTGTTGACGAGAAAGACACTGACGTTTATGGTAGTTCTTGTTTCATGTGGATAGGCCCAGTAATTACAAAGATATCAATCATAAACCAGGACAATACATAACCTTTTTACCTGGGACAGTCCCAGTTTTGAGCCCTGTGTCCCCTGTCCCAGCAGACATACAAAACCACTGATTTGTCCCAGTTTTATACAAAGAAGAAATGCCCCAGGTGTCCCTATGTTTGACCAATTTGATCTAACCAGGTCTAAACCAGGACTAAACTAAGACTAAACCAAGACTGCTCAACTGTAAACCAGGACGAAAACAGGGCTATCACAATTTTTGACTAATCTGACCCCCAGCAACAGTCAAGAGGAGCATAAAATGACATTTACTTAGCCAAAATACAGAAAAACATGTTTCAGAATGACCATAAATCAAAAAACAAAGCAGCAACTGAAGTCCCTCAGATTATGACTGACACAAGAATGCACAGTTTTACGCACTGTTTACACAGTTTTATTTATACCAACCTAGTGTCCTAGTTTAGAATTTTGAAAATGTGGTCACCCTAAAATTTTCACAATTAAAAATAAAACGCTATCACAGAATTCTGACCTGCCTTAATATTAAACTATAGACTGTTAGTAAAATGTTGTTTTGCCACGTGAATGCCACCTACTATTCACAAGAGCTCTAAAAATAAACTTTTTCTCATGAGGTTGTATAGATGGGAAAGTATGATGCAAGCACGGTAACACTTATGTAAACTACAGACAGTGACTGTTGCTCTTAGACCAAGTGGCTGATTTATTAGAGGGAGGTTTTCCTGTAGCCACGACCGCAGCTGTTCTCAGACAAACATTTATTTGCTGAATTAAACTCTGGGTGTAAATATGTATCTAGAGTGCTTCATAATTTACCATAGACCACCACACAGAAAGCACTCCTTTCCACTCCCTTTCTGTCAAGATTGTCCGACTAATGTTTAAGCTAATGCAGGTCCTGTTTACTGTGCCGGCTAAACACGCCCGTCACTCAAAGTAAACATACATTAGGTGTGGCGAGGAGGGCTGCGCCGCTAATAGGATTTTCATCAATTACTAATTAATTACAGAAGTGGGTGTATAAGGGGCATTTAAGGGGCATTAATTTTGCCCTTAAAGGTCCTAGATTACACGAAATGTATTCGCCGAGAACTTTTAGCCGTGCTGTTACCTCATCGCAAACATACCAGGAGGATTACACATGTTTGAGTAACCCTAAAAAGGCACTGTTCCGCCTTGTGATGCCGTGATGTCATGATGCAAATGATTCTCGTGAAGGCGTATGGAAAAAAACACAGAGGAGCGCTGTATTATCTCATCACATCACACATCACAAGGTGGAACATAGTGTATTCTATTTAAGAGAAGAACTCAGCCTAAATATGCAGGGCTTGTATGTTGAACATGTGTGAGTGAAATAAAAGGGCCCGGTCAAGCAGAAGTATACAGCAAGGTTAAAAATTCAAGTTAATGCATCTGATATAAAAATGTATTCAACAGATACATATGTACTCTAGTTTATGAAACTGTTTACCTTTTTTCTGTACCATTTTTGGTTCTAAAGTTACATAAGTTTTAAACAGACCATGTATGTAAAAATTTATTCCCAAATTTCAAAGACCTGCAAATCATGTAAATAAATTGATGTATTTCATCATATCTTGTGTTATTCGATCTTTGAACTGTTGATGAAGGTACATGATTAAAAAAAAATGTATTTAAAATGATAAAAATTTGCTTGGAAGGACTGACATATTTTATAGAAATAGTTACCTTTCATTTTGAAGTAATATTAAAGTATTCAGAAGAAAAAAAGCTGACAAATTATGCAAAATCATGCACCTTCTACTTGCTTGCACAATTTTCCCTCCGTTACTTTTCCCTCCGTTACCATGACCTTTCTTAATAAAAAATCTCATTACTCAAAAAGTAAGAGGTTTTTCAACCTAATCTTGTACCATATGGTAGAAAACTATATGAAGCAAATATTCAAACCAGTTTGTTAAGGATATGTGAGAACCGCTAGTTATCGCTGTTTGTATTTATTGCCCAAAAAGTGCTGCATATTTCATTCCCTCCGTTACCGACATGAGTTTTAAAATTTTTTGTCAACAACTTGAAAGAATATCACAGGGTTAACTTTACCCTGTTGGAGTGTTAACTCTTTCCTACATTCTAATACCTTACTTATTTCAATAGTCCCTCTAGTTTCTGAATAAGAGCTATTTGAATGTAAAAAATCTGCCCGTTTCCCTCCGTTACCGCTTGACCGGACCCAAAATTAAAACCCCAGGTATGTTTTTGATGAGGAAACAACAAAAACTAACATTAGGGATGAACAGATCCAAAATGGGCATCTGATAACGGCGCTGATTCTTAAACATTTGCTGAATTACTCAATATCCTAGTTTGGTTTATAAATTGGTGTAACCCTCTTCACAAAGGATAAGTACAACCTGGGGATGTCTGGTAATTTGTAAATTACCGCCCCACTTTTGTGTTACTTGCAGCGTTTTCGCAAGGGATAAGAGAAGTCCGTAAATGACTCTATTTTCCTGACTTTGACACAGAGATTGAAATAGAAAAGAACGCAGCAAGAAAAGAAAGAGATTGAAAAGGCGCGCAATTACAACAACTAGTATTATCACCTGACTCCTGAGTCTGGCGAAATATAGCAGGTAATTTGCGGCACAATTTTTACACACTTTTACAAATTACAGACATGGCACATTTGCACGTGATTAAGATCTTAAGCGTTCTCCATAATTATTACAAATCACCAAAGGTCCACAGGTCATACTAATCCTGTGCGAATAGGGCTTTTTCTGGTTGTAAATGGTCCAGAAAGTCTCATAATGTTTGAATTTTTATTTACAGCTGTTCTGTTGTTATTTCACAGATGAATAACACCTCCATAACATATCTGGAGCAGTTCAGCCTTATTTTATTTTAGTTTAAAAAGGAAAAATCTCTGTACTTGTGTCAGTTGATATCAGGGATCGGCAGATATTTAAAGCTATGGTATCGAAATTGAACGTGTTATTTTGCCTGTAAGTAAATAAATAAATGCCAGATAGACAAGTTTAAGGCCATACTGTGGACCATTCTAGCTAAAGCAACAGCATCTCCACGGAGAAAAGCAACTGACTGAGACCCCATCCACACTAGTACGTATTCGAGTTGTTTTCGTTGTGGATGCAGTGTTCATCCACACTCATCCGATTGAAAATGGCTCCACAGACGGATGAATTCATCTGAGTATAGATCTGAGTTGGCACTGTGTGGACACCTAAAAACGCTGATACGCTGATGTAGGTCTATGCACCTCGAAGTAATTAACGCAACGTAAGTAAAGCTAAGAGAGAATATATGTCCATTCATATATACGGTCTATGAGTATGACCTGCAGACGGATAATTTCTGAAAAGTTTAACATGAACCATCTCCAAAGTGATAGAGACTCACCATTAGCAGAACAACCCCTGTCACAAAAACACATATAATCCACTGAGTCGTGTCCTTTAGTCCGACAGAAGCTGAACCGCATCAGCGCACAATACCGAGCTGTTTTTTGAGCGCTCAGTTTATGCAAATTAGCCATGCGGTTTTAAGTTTTCTTTCTGTAAAACGTAAACAAATACGCTCAAAGCTGTGTGGATAGGGAAGACTCACGAACACAGAAATGAAGTGTGTGGACGCAGATCGTTTCCGATACGGTGATTTGCGGATTCGTTTCAGTGTAAAAGTAGTCTAAGCCTCACTAGAAAAGTTATGCATTGCACCTTTAATACTGATGACAACTTACCACAATGATGGCAATTCTCCCTCCGACATCTCCGACTACAGTGATGGGAGGCTTCTCTTTGGCCATCATCACTGAAATGGAAAACACACAAGAAGTCATATAAAAAAATAATAATAATAAAACATGTTCTGCATTAATCAAATTCATCTCAGGAGATTGGGTAAAATGGGTTGAGAAAATGCTTTGTGCTTGATGCAAAAATCATCATCTTCTATTATTGTTGGATTTCTGGGGCATATTACAGAAAGCAAATCACAATTTTTCTAGAGAATAATAATAATAATAACAATAATTGACCCCATTCTACCCCACCTGGAGATTGAACTGCGATGCCAAACAGAGTAGAGCACATGCCATGCAAAACCATCCGATGCAATGGGAGGGGGGCGGGTTTTCTGCCCAGGATACCCAATCAGAAGTCAGTGCTTGGACACACGCACACATACAAAGGCACATCATTGGCCAGGCCCAATACGGCTGTGGCAGGAACAATACAGCTGTCTGCATACTGTACGTGACCAATATGCAACAGGCAACTTGATCTTACAAGCACTGAGAACTTCACTCCAGACAGGTGAGGTCGGGGTTAGTTTAGCTGGACATCGCCGCTGCAGAACGCCGCCTTTACATGCACAAGCTACACCTCAAAAAACAACTATTATGTACAGTATTTCTATCGAGTATTTCTGATAAAAATGTTACGTAATAGGTTGGGTTAACATGACATCTGGGGGACTTACGGGGGATGAGGAGCGGGGTCTAGAGGACTAAAGGGAAGTCTAAACGAAGAGGACTAGGTCTGGAGGACTAAAGGGAAGAATGAGAAGGGGCAAGGTGTGAAGGACTAAAGGGAAGAGTAAGAGGGAGCGAGGTCTGGAGTACTAAAGGGGAGCTTGAGAAGGGACAAGGTTTGGAGGACCAAAGGCGAAAGTTAGGAGGGGCAAGGTTTGGAGGACTAAAGAGGAAGTGAGAAGGGGCAAGGTGTGAAGGACTAAAGGGGAGACTGAGAAGGGGCAAGGTTTGGCAGACTAAAAGGGAGACTGAGAAAGGGCAAAGTTTGGAGGACTACAGGGGAGCGTGAGAAGGGGCAAGGTTTGAAGGATTAAAGGGGAGAGTGAGAAGGGACAAGGTGTGAGGGACTAAAAGGGAGAGTGAGAAGGGGAAAGGTTTGGAGGACTAAACGGAAGTCTAAAGGAGAAGGAGTAGGTCTGGAAGACTAAAGGGAACATTAGGCAGGGTGGGATCTGGAGGATTAAAGGGGAGAGTGACAAGAGCCAAAGTTTGGAGGACTAAAAGGGAGATTGAGAGGGGTCGAGGTTTGGAGGGCTGAAGGGGAGAGTGAGAAGGGGGACGGTTTGGAGGACTAAAGGGGAAATTTAGGGAGAGTGGAATCTGGTGGACTAAAGGGGACAGTTAGAAGGGGCAAGATTTGAAGACTAAAAAGCACGTGAGAAGGGGCAAGGTGTTAAGGGCTAAGGGGAAGTGAGAAGGGACAATGTTTGGAGGTCTAAAGGGGAGAGTGATAAGGGACCAGGGTTGACTTACGAAATCTGAAAAGTATGTCATTAAACTCAAGAATGTTGTGACTCATGAACACAACCTATTCTTTCAGAAATCGCATGCGTACCCGAACTAAACTTAAAAAGTATCTGTCTAAATGGAACATTTAAATTTAACATTTAAACTAAACTTGAGCGTGTAAGCGTGTGCATGTAAACGCAGCGTAAAAGGGTAAGAGAGAAAGCAATCAGTCAGCCCATCTGATTGTGAAGGAGCATTAACAGAATAGATGGTTTGTTGAATACCACGAGGACCACAGCTTCAGAACCTGTCACACGTTTGCACGAGCGAATACACTATATCAGAATAAAATACAAAAAATACGTATGTAAGTGTATCAATGGATTCCGATACACACATAGTAGCTGACTTGGCTACTTAGGGCTGAGCTGGGCTGAACCATTCATTTTGTAGACCTCCATCATACCATCATTTAGCATTTTAGGTTAGCTTTCAAACCATGCTCAATCGTCATTACATGCAAAGAACAAATGTTAATCAGGTTTAAAGTAACAGGCTTTCAATGGGTGCACCATGTGTTGATTGGCAATATGAGTCCAGATATGAAATAATTTGAAGTTGAAATAAAAAGAAAAGTAGTTTGGCATGGTTTAGATTAGGTTCGTTAAGAATTTGGAAAACAAACTGATCACAAAAACAGGTCGGGTTTTGGGCATCTTGTTGTATTACCAGTCTGGCATCCAATACGTTTACAATGGTGAGAAAATAACTATCATAACGCTGATTTGAAGATTGGTTTCTGGCGTGTACGTGGATACCTGACTGGCAAATGACATGATGCAACGCAAACCCTGCTTAACATGCACAGATCCAAAAAAATAATAATAAAATTGAAGAGGAGTCAGTCATTTCAGAAGTACTCAGGTAAGTTAAGGTTACGGTCGTACTTGGGAGCTCTATGCCAGGGAACGGAGCTTGTTGTTTGCCTGCTATTATCAACAAATAAACACCACGTTAACAAAAAGCACATTTATCTGACATAAACATGTGAAGCCAAGACTGGAAAATCCTCTGAAAATAAAAGATTATTTCATTCATTCATTTTTGTCTTTGTCTGTTTTAAAAGAGGATTTTAAAGTCCAGGTTATCAGAGTTTCTCTTATAGTCTTAACGACAGAAGTGCTTTACATGTCTCGGCTACTTCCTGTAGCTTTTGTCAAAAGTATCAGAGGTGGAGTTGGAGTTTGTCCGGTGAAATGGTTTTGCTGAACAGCAGGGAAAGCTTCTGTGCCCCCTAGTGTCTGACACCTCTTCCAGGAGACAAAAGCTACAAGGAGTAGCCAAAACTAGTAAAGCGGGATACACTTCTGGTTGACTAAAAGAGAATTCTTAAAACTGTTAAAAGGTTGTAGTCTAAGAATGAACACAAGCTTACAGATACAGACAAAAATTATACTGGACAAAATGCTTGGAAGTCATTTGCCAAGGACACAATCTTTAGAAATTTTAGTATCTGTTTACATATGAGCTTTACACAATGTAGACACTGCAAATATGAAAAGAGCTGCACAGGAGCCTTGTTAAGACTGTCGGCAATTTAAAATGAGTCAATGAGCCTTAAAGCCATAAAGTAGATATTTAGTACTTGACTTTGCCGGTTAGTATTTCTGCTTCATGGAGAAACAATAATGCATATGTACATGCAGCGGCACAAAAAGGCACATCTGTGAGTATAACTGATGATATGAAGGATCCGTAGAGTTGAAATGTAGTGACTGCACGTGTCAGTGGTGTGACAGAGGAGTGGTATATAAGGATATATGTTGTGGTGCATCTTACAGGGCAGCTCAAGGCCGGTGTGTCCGGTGGTGTTGCGCACACTGGGAGGGGAGTGTCTGCCGTCAGCCATGTCTGACTCGGAGCATTGAGCCTCTCCGTGGATCACAGCCAGTCCCAGCCTGAGACGCTCTGCGTACGACTGTGCTCTGCACACACACGAAAGCACAATTACACTTCACACGTGTGTTTGTGAGGGGCTATCAACAGATCAATATGTGTCACAAACATTTGGTCCAACATAAATATTAGTTGGACAGACCTCATATGCACTCTCTCTGTTGTTGTTACTCACCTCTTGGCTGCTGCTGGTGACTTTGCAACAATTATTGCATTTCTGTAATCTGGAATCTGTCAACAGAAGAGAGTTTGCACTCAAACTAGGTGCAATATGTAATGTCACATTATATCACATGCAGTAAGATTTTAAAGTCCTTTATTACACAAAATTGACTCTTGTGAGCTTTAAGCCATGTTACAATGTTGTTACCTCCTCAAAAACAGACCTGGAGTTGTGTTTTGTTTCACTTCAAAACTCAAAATGCTCTGTTCCACCTTGCCCTTTGTTTTTGGTTTTGTTTGACCTTTTGTTGCATAGAGAATTCCGGGAAGTAAATGATGCACATTATTCCAGTAAAGATGTATGGAGTTTAAAAACACAGAGGAGAACTTCTTGTATTACCACACTACATCACAAGAACTCCAGGTAAGTTTGTGATGAGGAAACAACATAATACTGCAATATGGGCCCTTTAATGGTTGAATTGAGTTATAGCCCATCAATCAATCTTGCTACGGCGCTACCTATACACATATATCTCTAAATTTATGTGCTTTATGTTGTGTTATAACGTTACCTCCTCTTGAATATACTGTATCAAAAATGGGGAGGCACGGAGGTTGTCCACAGGAAAGCTGAAGAAGCCCTGGATCTCCTTCTGGTGTAGGTCCATCGTTATAATGTGAGTTAATCCTACGAAATACAAGAAATAACATAGATTTTTATACTAAAGTGTCACATAACCTAACAGTTACGTACCAGCTTTGGCCAACATGGACGCTAACAGTTTGGACACGATGGAGCCCCTCTTCCTCATCTTGCACTGTTTGCTGTAGGGGAAATACGGGATGACTCCGATGATGTTCTTGGCGCAGGACGTTTTGAGAGCGTAGGCCATGACCAGCAGCTCCATGATGGCTGTGTTAACATCTCTGAAAAGAAAAATCCAGAAATAATTTAACAAGGTAATCTAACATGTGTGTAAAGATCAAAATAATCATTCGGTTTTGCACTTACCTGGGTATAGTCTGGATGATAAAAATAGTCTGGCCACGTACGGACTCTTTGACATCCACTCTAGTCTCTGTAATAAAAAAGAGTAAAAGAGTAAAATACTTCTGAAAATGTTTAGTCTTTTCCATTATTTACATTTAGAGGATATAAGATCACATACAAAATTGAAATAATGAGTTTTTAACATCTTCAATAAGGAATTCGTTCATGATATATTGATTGTGGGATGAAATTTTTATATTGTTGAAGAAGTTGTTGAAACTGTAAACACAAATGACTCCATGGGTTTCAGAATGATTAAAAAATTCTCATCATCCAGTTTAAGTCTCAACTCGTTCCATGACAGAAATAAGCCTGAGTCTCACCAAATTTAACTCAATGGGCTAAAAGTGTGATGTTTTTGATGTTTTTAATGATTTGACTAAACGAGAGAGGAGCCACAGCGTGCACGGACAAGAGTTTGATTTGGGACACAGAACCTTTCCGGTGTTTCTGATCTGAGGAGCAAGAGGAAAAACACAACTCCCCGCTCTCCTGTTCGCTTCATAGGCACAGAGGAGGCTGGTTGTGGAGTGCAGAGCTGGTTTAATGCGGGGTACAGAATTAAGTTGCCTAACCTCTTCCCGATGCAGATGTAGAACCAGTAGATCTATGGGTAGTATGCACGGAGTTTAAGTAAAAGTAAAAACAGTAACGGAACTCTTCACATGTATCCTAACAAGAAATTACCAAATCTGTGTCGACATGTTTGCAGTTTTTGACAGGGAGCGAGAGACGGGAGAAAGAGGAGAAAGGGGCAGACGTGATGAAGGAGCGAACAGACAGAACCCACTGAAAACTAGTCCATCCTCAGAATCTAAACCAGCGTCTGTCTGTGCCCCTCACAACAGTCACATGTGCAAGATCATTTTAATATATTACCTGTGCCTTTTTTTATGAGTGCAGTGTCCACAGACAAGTATACAGCTGGTAAAAGTCTCAAGCCACACGCGACTATAAAAGTCACTTTTTCAACTATATCAGACAGAGACAGGTGTGTGACCGCACATGCTGAAGCTTTTGACTACACTGTTTCGTTAGACGTTCTTGGAGCCAGACTTTCAGTTTAGCTCGCTTCATGGAACACCCCCATAGGCCAATATTTAGTTTTGGTCTATCCACTGCCTAAAAAATACACACAAGGCTTTATTTTAAGTTTAACACTTTAACACTACACAGCTTCTGATTAAAAAAAGGGCTGTGGGTGATTTTGCAGTGAATTTAAACTATATACTGAGAATTAATTAATGAATTATCAAAATTAGTCTCACATATCAACACAAAAATATTGGCAGAGCTTATCAACCATCAGCTGCTTTGGATTCCATCAGCATTGGTCATGAAAAAACACATATCGCTCGATCTCTAGTGCATCCATTTTGTGTCGTCATCCTTGAACTTCAACTAAAATATTTTATTCCCGGCACATTTCAGCAAACTTCTGACAGATCGTAAAAATATTATTATTACGGCCATCCATTAATGCATCGAGTGATTGATGTGGGACAGCTTTGTTTGTCGGATTTGCGAGAAATTTATGCTTTGAGTGAGCCCAGTGTGTACAAAATTGTGAAACTAAGTAAACTAACTTGTCCTCACCTCTGTTGGATTCTTGAAATACCACAGACTTCCCCAGTTCAACTCCGAGTCGTCTGAAAAACACACACACACCCAGAAAATTTAAATCAAATAAAGACACGCGGTTTGAACGGTAACATAAATATTAGTTAATAAATTGAAACAGACAAGATGCTGCACTGGGGAGGCCAAAACTGTAATATAATTTTTCACACATATTTCTTAAAAACAGGCTGGGGAAAAAAATGGCAAGACAAATCATACTACACGCTTACGGTATGGTCATAAATTTAGAACTACCCAAAGGTTTCAGAATGATGAAAATGTAGGACTGTTGCCATAGTGATTAACAATAAAACAAAGAAATTTTACGTTTTGAAAGATTAAAAAGTCCAAAAAATGTTGGAGATGGACAGTAAACTGAAATGTATGAATATTTAATCTGTAATCTGTCATATTTTAGAGACAGTAAAGTGACATTTATACAGTATACACGTCAAATATTGCAAAAAATAACGTGATTAAAGCATGGATTTATTGTGCCAACATAGCCCTAGTTTAAATCTATGAGAACTACAGAAAAACTTGCAATTAATCTAAATATTTATGCATGAATGACTCGACTTTCTAACTATTGGCAATGGGCTGAAACGATGCCACGTAATGTTACTTACTCTGTTATCTTTTTGGCCAGTTCTGTGCAAGCTGCGGAGGAATTTGCGGAAAAAACGCGGTAGCCAGTTTTGGGAACATTCATCGTGGCTTTTATTTTATTTATTTTTTTGCTAAATAAATAAAATGACCTTGAGGTTCAGTTTGCTGAAGAATTTCTTGGTAAGTGCTGTTGTTTTGTTTAGCGGCGCACAGGCTAACCGGTTTTCACGAGCTTTACACGTAGTCAAAACGCACAATGAGCTCCGGGATGCTACACTACTACGTTTACAACTTTAACAACATATTAAGCGAATATTTTCCTGTTAAAAGAGCTGTTTCTTGACAGGATCGGACGGACAGAGGGGCAGTTAGCACCTGTCATACAGATGCGGGTATCTAACACGACTGCGTAACAATCTATGAGGCTGTGATAACGCTAGAGAACTGCTGGGTTATATTGTCGTGACAATCGCGGCGGCCATCTTGAAACTGTAAGAGGTGCAGATTTTGAATTGAAAACAATGTAAAACAGAAATTTAACTAGACACATAATGGTATATACAGTGTTGGGAAGTAACAAATTACATGTACCGGAGTTATGTAATCAGAGTACACATTATGAGTAACTGTATTCGGTTACAGTTACTGTTTCAGTGAGTGGTCATTGGATTACAGTTACTTTGTTGAAATAAATGGATTACTTGGTGATATTTTCCTGTTTTCACATTTTGAGCAATATCCCTTTTTTTTTTTCTTTTTTTTTCTGTAATTCCACTCAAACCAGGTCTAAACCAGGACTAAAACAGGACTAAAACAGGACTAAACGAGGACTAAAACAGTACTTAAACAGAACTAAAACCAGAACTAAACCAAGACTAAAATAGGACTAAAATAGGACTAAATCAGGACTAAACCAGGAATAAAATAGGACTAAACCAGGACTAAAACCAGAACTAAAACCAGAACTAAACCGAGACTAAAATAGGACTAAATCAGGACTAAACCAGAACTAAAATAGGACTAAACCAGGACTAAAACCAGAACTAAAACCAGAACTAAACCGAGACTAAAATAGGACTAAAATAGGACTAAATCAGGACTAAACCAGGAATAAAATAGGACTAAACCAGGACTAAAACAGGACTAAAACCAGAACTAAACCAAGACTAAAATAGGACTAAAACAGAACTAAACCAGGACTAAACCAGAACTAAAACCAGAACTAAAACCAGAACTAAACAGAGACTAAAATAGGACTAAAATTGGACTAAATCAGGACTAAATCAGGACTAAACCAGGATTTAACAGGACTAAACCATGCTGTATGGACCGTGTCTCCTCCTCCTCTTCTATCAATAATATTTTTTAATTTGGGCTTTTTATTGTCTTTTATTAGACAAAACATCTTATGTCACGATATTCTAGTCTTTGCTGCTTTACAGCAAATCAAGTAATCCAAAGTATTCAGATTATGTTACTCACTTTAAGTAATTTAATGGATTACGTTACAAACTACATTTTGAGGTACGTAATCTGTAATCTGTAGGGGAATACATTTTAAAAATAACCTTCCCAACACTGGGTATATATGTGGTTCTAATAATGCAAGGGACTGTCAGAAGATTTGTATTCAAACTTATGAAAATAAATGATAATAGATAGATAATTATTGCTGGGATTCACATATCACGGCATTCTGTAGTCCAATATTAATGAATATAATTGGGGGCAGATAAAATAATACAATAATTGAAAATACCAAGTTCAACATTTGTGACTTTACCTTTTGGATATTTCATGTTAAAGTAAAATGTAATTAATAGGAAAAACTGTCCCTTGCCTCCAATTATCACATTCTAGAATCTGAAAACTACTAATTATGTTTACTTTATGGTTATTTATATTATCAATATGAAAAAAATGTATATCTAGACCAGGGGTGTCCAAACTTTTTTCATCAAGGGCCATATATCTAAACACAGATGAAGCAAAGGGCCAATCGAGGGCCGTAGACTGATGCTCAGTACAGGGAATAATTGAAATATGTGCATGTTTAACACGTTAGAATGAACCATCATCTTTATTCATGCTAAGATCCTTAAAGCCACACACTAAATATTAAATATTAGCTTTATCAAGGCAGATTTTCAAAAAACTTGCAGTAAAAAAATATGTTTTAATTGATGCAAGGTAATTTGGGCCAATTCACCTGGAAGTCTGAGGGTCAAGAGCCATAGTTTGGACATGTCTGATATAGACGTTTTAACATCAGTATGGTAGTAGTAAAAGATTGTCTCCTTGGCCAGAGTCAAATTATTACAAATTTAAATTTCATCAAGAAAAAAAAAAGTATTTATTTATATTTTACAGAATACAGAATTAAAACGTGCGACTCCCTGTTATTTTACGTGAGTTTCAGCAGAAGCGGTTGTTGGTTACTATGGGTTACCATAGCGACTACCACTCTAGCTTTATTATTAACAACTATCAGAATGTACGGAAGCCTCAGCGGCTCAATCTTACTCACCTCTATTCGCCAAAGGTACGTTTCCACAGTTCTTAAAATAAATCTGTTATTTCTATCCGTTTACATTGACATAAACAATTTAAAATACTCTGATTAAAGATTGTGCATGACTTTAGCAGTTATTGCACTGTGACAAAACACGTGGGCTTTTTGTATGATTTTAGGTTTGCAAACGTCGACCCCATCACCTGAAAACGAGGTGGTATTAGTGTAGTAATAATTGTTCTGCGTGTTAAGTAAGGCTGTCATTCGAATTTATGATATAAACGTGCACATATGCATTGAAAAGCACGGTGCAATATTTACATTAGTCGGATCAAAGTGCATTTTAAAGAGACACGTGGTTGCGTTAGCTATCCTAGTTACTGATTCATCCCTGTGTCTCCTCTTCTACCACTGAATTTTGATTTTAACAAATGACATGATTTTTCTTTGAGAGACAGCCTAAAATCTCAGCTCTTGAGTATGAAACAGGGTATAGGTCAGGTGTTTTGACTGAAAGCATTTATGATTTAAAAAAAAAAAAAAAGAAAAAGAATATAAAAAAGTATATTTAAGGGGGAAAAAATTGTTAAAGAATATATATTGTTTTTCCTACCAATACTATAAAATGTAAATTGTGTAGTCATACCGCAGTTGTCCACTAGATGTCGTTATTTATTAGCTGCGTCACTGCACATGTCCTGAGAGAGATGCTGCTACCAACCCATATAAAATAGAAAAGTGTGCAAAGAAATAGAAATAAAATGAGGGAAAAGATGTCAGGGTTTGTGTAATGCTTTACAGATTGGTTTACTTGTGATTATTTCTTATTAAACTAGATATAAGATCTGTTCGCGTGCTTTTATTGCAAAATCCCTTGTGCGTTCTTATTTTGGCTGTAGTTATTTAGTTGATTAATCGGTTGAGTGTTGGTGTCTTAATTGATATTTACGTCAACTAATCATTTTGTTTATATTCTAATGATTTATATGGGACAGCAGAACAGCAGAAAGGAGGAGAGGTTAGTGAGTGAGCGTGTTGGCAAAAGATTTAGTATTTATATGTAAAAAGTCTTTGTACAAACACATTTTTCCTAGAACTTTTTTCTGCATAAATTGTTGTTTTTGCGTGTAACTCCGGTGCAGGTGCAGTCGTGTGAGTGCAGCTGGGGTCAGATACATAGAGATGCGTGATAGTTAAGAGAGTTTTTGCCACGTTGAGCAATCGATCTGCAATTCCGTCTTTAGTTGACGAAAAAATCCTTTAGTTCGCTACAGCCCTAATGCCTACAAGTTGATATGCACGATTTTTGGAACTTTTCATAATTACAAATAGTTGTAGTAGAGTCTAGAGTGTCTTACCTTGGCCAAATTATAAATAAGTTGATTAATATGTGGGGATGCAACGATCTGGACATCAGAAATTGGTGGCGATTAGGGCTAAGTATCATTAGTTGTCAATATGATACATAGGCCACCATTCGATACGGATTTCGATAGTGTACTTCCAGTTCAGTACGTTTCAGTACGATATATTTCAAAATGATTCAGTACGGTTCAGTAAAAAGCAAATCTTAAATCATGGCTGTTATTCTAAAAGTCTTTATTAAATGACTAAGTTCATATGAAAAACACAAATTTTACTTAAAACAGTGAAAATGTCAAGTGTATCACATAAACAATTAAACTTTCTCCAAACGAGCAACACAGTTGTGGCTCTTTCACAAAATAATTTAGTTAAATATACAAAGAAAATACTCTTGCCAATATATCGATACAACAGCCCACGATGTCAATACTGTATCACCAAATTAAACTATATGATATATCGATATTTCAGTATTTTTGCACACCCCTAGTGGCGATACTGAAAATTTGTTGGAGTGGATATCTGTTTTAAATATCGATTGAGCCGATATCGTAGCAGGACAGATAAATTGATATAATAAGACCATTTCTTGTCCGTAGTCAGCAGCAGAGAAAGTCTCATAATGTTAGTTTTTATTATTTTTATAGCGTTGTTTTTTATAGTTACTTGAGAGACACATAACAGCTCCATAACACATTTGGAGCAATTCTGTCTTATTTTAAAGGAAATAAATACTGTTATCAATCTCTGCACCGGTATATTGATTGATATCGCATATTGACAAATACATAAACGTATCGTATTGAAAATCGGGGTCAGAACTGAAAAAACTGAATCGGTTCATCTCTTCTCATGTGCAGCTTTGTACAAAACCACTTATTATTTGCCATGGTTTTTGTAGCCATATGTAACTTTACTTCACTGGCACTGTGTTCTGTTAGAATGTATGCATCTTTTTATAGTTATGTATCTTGATTTCTGTTGCTTATGTTCTCATTCTCATGCTGTTCTTGAACTTTATGTTGTATCACTGTACTTTCCTCAGTGCGAACAATCAAAGGTTTATTTTAATTATTTTATTGGCATTAAAATGATATAGACCACAGTAAAAATCTGATTTCTGATCTCTGTTATGGAGATCAGAAAACTGCCTGGAGTTGTGTTTTATTTCATTCACACACTCTTCTTCTCTCAGTGTCTATTCCACCTTGTGATGTCATGTGGTAATACATAAGGCTGCGCAATTAATCGAATTTTGATCGCAATTTTGATTTGTGTGTCAAACGATCTCCAAACTCATATAATCGAGTTGAAAGTTTATTTTGGGATATTTTTTATATAAATAAGTATATTTATAAATTTTTTTTAAAATATAGAGATTGTAGAACAGCTGGATATACAATTTATTTTGAATACATTTATGTTTTTCTATGCCTTATTTTATGTTCAAAATATATTTTAATCATTTTATGTTTTATACATGGCAAAACTGCTCTAAGGTTCATATTTGTAGCTGATATTTATTTTCAATTTGAAAGTTTTGCGTAAATTATCAATAACAAAGTGGGAGATAAATGGTGAATAAATGCATCATGTAACAAAAAAAAATAATCATTTGAATAATCGTGATTTCAATATTGACCAAAATAATCGTGATAAAGATTTTTTCCATAATCGAGCAGCCCTAATAATACAGAAGTAGAATCATTTAGATAATTGGATCATTTCAGCACTGGAATTGCACATTTCTACTGAACTAAAGAGAAAAGTTGGCTGTTATCTTAAAAACTACCACTGCATGACATCGCAAGGTGGCACAGAGCGTTTTGAGCTTTGGAGATGTGGACAGATTAATAATAAAGGATTACTCAAAAATGTGCGAATGAAACAAAACACAACTCCAGGTCTGTTTTTGATGACGTGACAACATTTTAACACGGCTTAAAGCTCACAAGAGTCAATTTGGCGTAATATTAGACCTTTAATCCTCGCACGGGACACGTCTTTAGCCGACCGTGAATTCCTTCAGTCGACTACAGCCCTACATACGTCTCACATTTCACATTTACCCCGTCTACACCAGATTTCGTGGCTTTTTCCTGTGCTGTTTCTTGCCTGAGTCTGCATGTGGTATACTATCAGGCACTCTGTCAATGTTTAACACTGGTTCACACCTACTGAACATTGCACCTCCCCTGTAAGGCTTTAAATAACCTCCTATCTGAAGCCTCTATAGCTGCCCTCTCTCTAACTTCTCTCGTGTAAAAAGCACTGGTTTCCTAAAACAAAACAGTCCATGCCCTCCTGAGGTCAGTCGAGAATAGGGTTGCACCGCATACAATACTGGGGTCGGACATCGCCGCCGATATTGGACATTTTGACGGATCGGATATCGGTTCAGTCGATATCGCTTCATTTAATATCCTATTTTTGTCTATAAATGTGTGTAATAAGATGATTTACTGGACAATATTGGCCCAAACACCTAATAATATTTAGGGATGTAACAATATCCAAATCTCTCTATACGATATTTTCACGTAATGTGTTAATTTTCTGTCATAATCCAGTAAAAATTGTTATTTCATCATGTAGAGTGGACTGAAACAGAGCAAAGGATCATGGTCTATGTAGTTCTTGCTGTTTTTTTAGCTGCTGCTGTGTCATAACTATGAATTTAAGCAAAAAAAAAAGTCATAATTTGATATATTGTGATGCCCCACGGTATTATTGTGAGGCTTTTGACGATACGATATCACGATATTTTGGTTATTGTTCGGTTAAGTTGTTCTGTAGTTACTTCAAATGATAAATAAGAGTTACAAAACACATTTGTATATATACTTTTTACCATAAACCAATGTGTCTAATAGGGCTGGGTAGCATTAAGAACTTGCCGATACGATACATAATTCGATACATAGGCCACGATATGATATACATCTCGATACAGTGAGCTTTCAACTCGATACGATATATTTCAAAGCGATTCGATACAGTTCAACAATAAAAAATAAAGGCTAAATCGTGGCTGTGATACAAAAAGTTTTGTTAAACCAAAACTTCTTGTGCAAAGTTCATATGAAACACAAACATTTTACTCATCAAAACTGTGAAAATGTCAAATGTGTTGCACAAAATTGTTTCCTTCCTCTAAATAAGCAACAAAACTGCAGCACTATAACAAAATAATTTAGTAAAACAAACCAAAAAATACTCTTGGTGATGTATCGTTAAAGCAGCCCATGATATCAATACTGTATCAGCACATAAAACGATACGATATATCAATATTTCAGTATTTTTGCACACCCCTAGTGTCTAAAGAGAATCATTTTTATTTTATTTTATTTAGTCTCTGTCCTAATATTGGCTGATATCGATTATGAGCAGATACTTCAAGCCAAATTATCGGCATCAGTATCGAAACAGGAAAACGCTGGATCCTTTTTCGAGAACAGTGTTGACAAAATGAGAATTTAGAGGCGATCCTTGTTACTCTGCCGATCCCAAGTGTATTTTTTTTGTTACCCTGCGAAACCCAAATCCAAAACAATCTAAAACCTGATCCGATTTGTAGTGCTGCTTCATCTGAACTGTTTGCTACAAATTCAATGTCATGGCAGCAGGTTAATCTACTCACAATTCAACTTCAGACGGATTATGTTTTATCCTGACGTCATGGCGACCGCTGATGAATATTGCATTTTTGATTGTCGAGTAAGGCTGGGAATTATTATAACAGGATCCAACGTGATTTGATATGAGACACGATGAGGTTTGCCACAATAATTACAATCGTATCAATTTATGGCTCAGTATATGATCGCTTTAACTATAATGTGAGATTTGAGCTGGAGAGAGTAGAATAAATAACTTCTGTGGTTAATTACTGGGTCAGTTTGACATTTATTTGTTGCAGTTCAGGCTTTTTAATGATAACATCTATTTAAAAATGTTTTCCTGGCATTATCTTGCTTTGTATCACTACCATAAAGTATTTCAGTATTATCGTGTATTGCAATATTTCTCTGAAGCAATATATCATGCTTCAAAATTTGTTATCGTGACAAATCAATAATATCAGCATTTTGCAATACATAAAATAGTCTATATATCAGTATATTGTGCGTGATATTCTAAAATATATTAGCTTGATTCATCAGACGATTTCACTTTGAGGAAACTGTCTGACCTCACAGCATTAGGATTTGTTCGCTCAACTTTAGGCTGGTACTTTTTTTATTTAACCAATCGCTGCTCTTTGGTCGTGACTTATGTAATGCGCTGACTGGTATATTAAGCTTTTCCTAAATCCCGTAGGAAGAAGGGCAATAACGTCTTTCCCCTTGATAAAATTCACCAAACATTCTTTTTGTTCCGGCTTTAAATCCTCGATCTCGGGAATTGTTGCCAACACAGAATATATGACTCTTCGCTGATTGGCTGGTGCCCGAACTCGCACTTCCGGGGTTTTTGGAAATCGTCTAGTGTATTCCGATTCCTAACCTAGTCGCTGGAGAGAAATAAAATTGAGCGGAGGCACTAGGTGACACGAGCCTGGCTAAAAATATAGAACTGTTTTTAAAGAACTAAGAACATGACAAAAAGCAGAACCGTAGTTATTTGTTAAACCACTACCTGCAGAAACCTAAAGGTGCATTGTGTAACTTTTCTGGTGGAGGTCTTATTGCTTTGTACTATTAAACCTTCCTATCTTCATGGAAACCAAAGCAGACAAAGTTACAGGTCAGATCTGTTGAGAGGCGACCCCACTCACAGTCAGAACGCCTATTTTTATAGGTTTTTTAAGCAATAAAACCACCTGTAATTGAATAAATGTAAGATAGAGCTGTTTAATGTCATACTGTGGAGCATTCTAGAGTAAAGACGTATCCATAGACTCAAGAAAGTGACAGTTCCCCAACCAAAAAGCTACACAGTGCACTTTTAATATCAATTTTAAACACCAAAATAGTGGATATGTAAAATGTACTGCATAAATGTGCTGCATAAACATTTTCTTTCTCTGGACAAGTAACAAAATTGTGTTTCTGTCACAGATTTAGTAAAATAAACCAAAAAATACTATATGTCTACGATATTTGTTTATATATTAGCCCACAATACTCAATCTTGTATCACCAAATTAAGTATCACGATATTTTCGATATTTTAGCTCGGGTTGTACGGTTTTAGAAAAAGGCGTTTTTACTGCAAAATTTCTGACACGTTTTGCGAATTTGCTGTTGCTTTAAAATTTGCGATCTGTGTTTAAAAGCTTAAAGTTGGAATCTGTCCAGAGTCCACGTTGTAAACAACTCCAGGAGTGTTAAGGTTCGAGAGAAGACTGAAATATAAACTGGAAAAGCAATGCTAAAATAAAAAAAAAAACATGAATTTCAGAATATCTTTATGGACATTCTTGTACATTATTGCAGCTTTTGATTGAGCTTTTATGCAAATTGTGCAACACTAATTTCACCACAAGGCTTCAGTTTGTGGCTGTCTTATCTCTCCCCGTGTTGTTACCATACCTCCTCCAAAGGTGAGGTGGGTAGAGACTGGAGAGAGAGAGAAAAAGAGGGAGGGAAAGCGAGAGAGAGAGGGAGAGAGGGTGCATGTAAGCGAGTGGCTCCTCCTCGTCCGCTGCGTGCCTTTTCTTGTGTGTCTCTCCAGCTCGGTGCGCACTCAACACTCAACCTCCAGTGGTGAGGACGAAAGAACACACCGTCGGAGGAGAGGAGGAGGGATACAACCAGGAATCCGGGACTATTTCTTCTCTCGTCCGCGAAAAAGGTGAGAGATGTAGTGTTTGCTTTTGCAGAAAGGGGGAAGGGTATCCTGACAGCAGCGGTGAGCGGGCTGAGGCACGTGCACGCTGGGGTTTTCAAGATTCATCTAAATTTGAATGGATGCAATTAGCGGATCGGAAAGGTAGGAATTTTTGAAGTAATGTAATTTGCTTCAAAAAACAGCAAAATATCTGGTGGCTGTAGTTGAGATCTGTGCAAGCATGTCCTGAAATGTGATTCTTGTATTAGTTTGCCAGTTCATATTTCAGCCTTTTTGTCAATTCTTCTGGTTTAAAATCCGAACTTTGAAGAGAATCCTAATGCAAAATCGCAAAATCGAAAAATGACAATCGGATGTTTTGACTGTGTGCTGTGTTGTCTGCTCAGAGGGATAGAGAAGATGCAAGGAGATGGGGAGAAGGACCACCTGGAGAGCCCCAGCCCGCTGACTGACAAGGAGAAAGTCATGATCCAGGATTCGTGGGCAAAAGTCTACGAGAACTGCGATGCTGCCGGGGTCGCCATCCTGATCAGGTGGGCATGTTTTTATTTTACTTTTGCGCACAACGCTGCACATTTTAGTTTTATTTGTATTAATTTATTTGATTTAATAGGGACAGTTACGCGCGTTAAAGAGATTGTATGTACGTAAGATTTTGGTTTACGCTTGACCTATCGCTTTCCCCATTTATGAACTAGACATGTCCAAATCAAATATAGCTTTTACTAGTGACAATTGTAGTGCTGATTTATTCTTAATTATAAAAATATTGGACATGGTAGTCAAGTGTTTTATGTTGTAATGTTCTCAAGAGGATTATCCAAGAGTCTCCCATTTGGGTTGCCAGTTTCAGTGTTGAAATCTAGTTGGTTTAATGCTAAAATGCCTCTCGCTGTCGGATCCGAATGGTCATTGCCAATTATTTATCAGTGCTAGTGCAGCCTCTGCAGCTCAGCGAGGGAATCCTGGAGGTTCTGAGCTTTCTGATGATGAGGTCTGTCCATAAACTGAGAATGAGAAAAACTTGGCAACACGGGTTCAGTTGAGATTGTAGTACCTTTTGGTTGTAAAGAGCGCTGGCTGCATCCAGTACCTTTTTAAACACGTAACAAACTGCACTTATATCCGAGGCAAATGTGCAATGCTCATTCGTAGAAGTTTGCATATAAATTTTAACATTCCCAGAAGTTTGCATGTAAATTTAACATTATACAAAGGCAAAACATTTCATTATGTCACCAGAAATTGTCTTTTAGTGTTGTCTGACTGACTTTTTTTTAAAAACCTGCTTAAATTCATGTTCAAAACCACCCCAATCGAAGTCCAGTTTCATCTCAGCTCTGTGCAAACTACTGAAAATGTAATATTCTAATAGAAGTGTTGGTTAATATTAGAGCTGCTCAATATACCATAATCAAAACCAAGTTGAAATTGACGCAATTATTGAAATCACGAAAGCTGCAACTAATTGGACAATAGAAAGTTCTATGCAAAGAACAAAATATAGTGTTAGTTATAGTGTCATAGACCTCTACAAACATGTTCTGAAATCTGAAATACGTGGGATTCTTATGTTAGTATCAGGTTCATATTTCAGTCTTCTCTTAAATGTTAACACTCCTGGAGTTGTTTACAATGTGCATGATCAGAATCCTACTTTTTAAACATATATCGCAAGTCCTATCACGATACTGCAGAAAAAAGAAAAAAAAAACTAGATCGTGCTGTCCTAGCCAATATTAAAGGTGCATAATATGTTTTAGATTGTTAATTACTGTATAGAAATTAGGAAATGAGCATGGGCGCTCTTCTGGCTCCATCAATTCACTTTGTATTGAAAAAAACATTGCCCCTCTCTGTAACTGCTGCTGTCAGACTCGTCATTTTGCTCTTAAAATGTTCATATTGACCCACTTTACATGCTTCTGGGGTTTTTTATTTCACTTTTTTTGTCCGTAAATCAATTCCTAATCCTAAAACGGATCTCTAAATTCTCTCCTATAACTGCTTGCCTCGCTGAGCTTCATTTGACTAGGTGACGTCACAGTTTCTTAGTCCACTTCTTTGTACAATCTATGGTCATAATCCTGTTTTATTTGTCCAGAAGTATCCTTGTTTTGGTCCTGTTTTGGTTTTAAGACATGATAGTAGAACCTTTTTAATGCCCCTTAGTACAGTAGAACAGTAGCAGTGCAATACGAAAAAAAGAAAGATATTCAAGATTCATTTTCCGATTTTTCTTTCCTGACACTCTCCATTAATTCACATTTTGGCATCGAAAGCACCACCATGCCTCTTACCGTTCCTAATCCATGTTGTCTAAATACAAACTCCCACAAATATCTTACTCCAATTGCCATATCCTCCTTACGCCTGAATCAACACGGGAATATTTTTAGGTCTGCCGATAAGATGATAAAAAAATGTGATTTCAGTAACATTTCTGCTCCGTTTTGATAAACCATTTTGACACTGCGAATTAAACTCAACCAAAACATATTGCTATCCCTTTTATTTACAAGTCGGGTTGTGTCTGGAGAATATCAGCATTCTATTTTTGTATATTTTGAAGTAGAGCTCCACTTTTAGGTTTATTTTTAACATTTATACATTCAGAATTGACAATCGTGCAATGAGAAGCATGGGATTAGCTCCGGTTAACGTTATCGATGGGTTTCAGAAGGTTTTAGGATTTGGAAAGTTGCCATACTAATTAACAATTTAGTGAAAAGTCCATAAAATGTTGTCTATAAAAGCAGCTAAAATCCAGTAAAAAGAAAAAGAAAGATTAGCCAATGCAAAACAGCTGAGTCTAACCCATAGACTCTATATATAAACTGACATACCGGTACTTAACGTGTGAGGTGCAAGTGGAAATGGAAGTGAGCACGGGCGCACTTCCAGCTCCATCGATTCCAATTCACTTCGTATTGAGATAATGTCGCCCCTCTCTGTGACCGCTGCTGTCAGACTTGCCATTTTGGTCTTAAAATGTCTCATAAACCTGCTCTACATGATCCAGGTGGTTTTATTTCACTGTTCTATCCGTACGTAAAATCCAATTCCTAATATGGAACCACTGTGAGCTTCGTTAGACTCGAGCCAAACGCTATTGGTGACGTCACACTCCTTTAGTCCACCTCTTTATACAGTCTGTGATTCAGCCAGTGCATCTGATTGGGTTGAAACCAGGCCTCAACTTGGAACTAGACCAGAAGTGGCCCTGAAGTGGACCTGAATAGTGGTGTGCAAAAATATCGAAATATCAATAGATCGTATCGTTCAATGTGATGATAGAGTATCAATGTCATGGGTTTCTGTATCTATATATCGCCAAGAGTATATGTAGTTTTTTTTTTTTGGTGTAGTTTACTCAATTATTTTGTTACAGCAGTACAGTTTAGTTGCTTGTTTAGAGGAAGGAAACTCGATTATGAACTGTTTTGATGATTAAAATGTGTGTGTTTAATATTATCTTTGCACAAGAAGTGGTTTAACAAAGACTTTTAGTATCACATCCATGATTTAGCATTTATTTTTTACTGAACCATATCAAAATCGATTTGAAATATATCGTATCGAATCAAAAGTGCACTGCATCGAGGTATATATCGCATCGTGGTCCATGTATTGAGGTATGTATCGTATCAGCAACTACCCAACCCTAATGGTAACACGAATAAAGTAATAATATTTTGTGTTAAAAACTTAAAAAAATAAGGGAATCTTTAAAAATGATCACTGTGTTCAAAATCTGTATCGAGCCTATACCTTAATATCGAAATCGAGTTCAGTCGGCAACTTCTTAATGATACCCAGCCTTAGACAAAAAGTAGACCAGAAGTAGACAAGGACTACTCCAGGACTAGATCCAGATCTAACCAAGTCTACATCAGGACTTAACCAGGACCAAACCAGAACACAGACACCTTTCAACCTGTAGATAAACTGCTCTTCACGGCTTTTCAGAATAACAAAATATAAGGACCATTGCCATAGTGCTTAAATAATACAAATTATCACATATTTTGAATGGTAAAAACCTGATGTTGGTTCCAGAAGGAGGCTGAAACCCACTGTTTATTGTACCTGATTTTTACTGTCTTAAAATGTGAAAAACAAAACAAGTTCAATCTAAACAGTTTGCAGTGGTCCAAACTAGGGGTGTGCAAAAATATTGAAATATCGATATATCGTATCGCTTAATGTGATGATACAGTATCGATATCGTGGGCTGCTGTATCGATATATCGCCAAGAGTATTTTTTGGTGTATTTTACGAAATTATTTTGTTACAGCTCTACAGTTTTGTTGCTTGTTTTGTGATAGAAAACTCGTTTATGCAACACATTTGACAAATTCACAGTTTTGATGATTAAAATGTTTGTTTATCATATGAAGTTTGCACAAGAAGTGGTTTAACAAAGACTTTTAGTATCACAGCCACGATTTAACCTTTATTTTTTACAGAGCTACAGTTTTGTTGCTTGTTTAGAGGAAGGAAACTTTTTTTATGCGACACATTTGACATTTTCACAGTTTTGATGAATAAAATGTTTGTGTTTCATATGAACATTGCACAAACATTGGTTTAACAAAGACTTTTAGTATCACAGACATGATTTAGTCTTTATTTTTAGAGAACTGTATTGAATCGATTTGAAATATATCATATTGAATCGAAAGCTCACTGTATCGAGATATGTATCTTATCGTATCGTGGCCTATGTATCGAGGTATGTATCGTATCGGCAACTTCATAATGATACCCAGCCCTAGTCCAAACGTATTCCTCGTTTACCGTATGCGTTCTGAGCATCCTAATTATCGACCACAATGAGTTTGTAAGTGCTGTACGGAGTTTTGCCGACCATACATCTTACAACAACTAACATGATAACACGCACTTAATTATCAGCCAATAAAACGTTTAAGCACGCAGCTGAATTATTTTGACTTCAAGAGCTGTTTATACTATATTATATCTGTAATGGGGCAAGACATATTTTGCGAATACATGGAAAAAAATCAGATACAGGACCTTTTTAAATATAACCATAACACACACGCTTACCGAATACATTCTTATAATAAAACACTGGCTTCCACTTCGAGCTACATTTCTGCATATCCAATATCCCCAACCCTCTCTCTCCTTCTTAATCCCGTTTATCACACCGCTGCTGGTGGGTAAACATTCAAACGCATCAGTCATACACCTTTGGCTGAGAGACCTGACTCCCCTCTCCTTATCGGGTGTTTGGAAATGTCGGCGTAGAAGGCATGGCAACTCCAATCCATCACCGGCAATCAGAGCCTGAAATCACCGGTTTGGTTTATCGCTCCGCTTCATTCACAATTCATTTACGGGCGTCCGCAGCTGTCTGTTACGCTGTCAAATATGAATGTGCACTTTCCTCTTAGGTTCAGAGCTTTGGAGATTCAGACCGACAAATAATGCAGGATTATTCAAACGTGTGTCAGTGAAATAAAACACAACTCCAGGTCTGTTTTTGATGATGTAGCAGCATTA